TTTCATTTTATCTTATTTCGTTTTATTTTATTATATTTTATTTTATTTATTTATTTATTTATTTATTTTATTTTATTTCATTTTATCTTATTTCGTTTTATTTCGTTTTATTTTATTTTATTTTATCTTATTTCGTTTTATTTTATTTTATTTTATTTTATTATTATTTTTTAATATAATGGTAACTAAAATCATTGTAAAAGGAATTCAATTAATCAAAAGCAAATTGCTTTAATATTCAAGAAAAATCTCTCCCCAAAAGAGGCAGAAATTGCCAAGTTCGTGGATACTTATGATTATGAAGGTATGTTTTGAGAAATAATTTGATGCAATGTTAGAGAAATGTGTAAAACTTAAAATTAATTTTTAACTTTTTTTAGCCCGTAGTGGACAGCATTGAAGATAACAAAGTTAAATATGTTGAAAGGGAATTGCAGGACATGTTAAATAAATGGCAGATTCTAAGGAACTTAAGTGAATGCGACTCTGACGTCCATAGCTTTTCTTTAACTTGTTTATCTTACAAAACATTTGTAAACTCATTGCTAAAGTAAATAGCGAACAAGTTTTACCTCTTGCTTGTTTGACTAAAGAAGCAAATTTTCTTTTAACAAACATTATTTGTGAACGATGTCATTGAATGTAACGAATTTGTAAAGAAAAAGGACGTTTCCTCATTTAATTCAAGAAAGGATAGTTTCTCTACAAGGACACTCTTATAATTTCCACAAATTTATTTCATAAAAATTTAAAAATGAGATCTATACATTTAACCTTTTTAAAATTTTTTAAATATTTTGAAGTTCAAATTATGCTCTATATTTTGTTTCCCCCTCTAATTTATCTATAAGACTTGCACTTATGAGTGATTAAAATGCATAATTATTTAATCATTTTAATTAATTGGGTACTTGCATTACAAGAAGAAGATCAGGGATACCCTCACATGTGACCTATGACGTCAGTGCCAGCTGATCGCTTATAAGCAAAATGGCGTGTTAAAAGTGAGCTAAGTTTCTCCACACAAGTTAGAATGTTAATTAACGTTAAGTTAATTAAGTACAGCGCCATATTGCACGTAGAATTTGTTGAAATATAATTTTTTCCCATTCACGTCTTTTAGTTAAGTTAGATTTATTATTTTTCTATGTATTTTCCCGTAACCATGACATATTTTTTGTTTTGTGTGCCTGGCAACTTCGATGCAAAATTAGTTTGTTTATGTTCTACGTCGCTTTATGCCCGTCTTACTGTTAAGTAAGAATTATATTGTGAAAGAATTTAAATCTTTGTGAAAGAATCTTCATGTAAGAATAAAGAATGTGTCTCTTAAGAGAATTGATACTTGACGGGCTCGGCTTACTCGAAATAGAATGGTAAGAACAGTTGCTAACGTTAACAAATGTCACGTTTTAGGATCCACCCACTTTTAGGATCCACTATGTTCTAAATGTAATATTGGTTCTAAGGTAGCAGTCGTAGTAGTATGAATTTTTTAGAATTATTTGAAAACAAGTGCAATTTTTCACTAAAACTACTACATTTAGCGAATATTAATTTTGTCAAAAAACTAAAATATTATTTAATTATTAAATGTCTTTCACATTGCATATAAGTAACTTCTTATGTCTCAAACGATATGTATTTTTTTTTTTTAAATACTATCATCAAGCATTGAAGGGTTTAAATATTAAAAAAGTAACTGGGCGAGAATAGAAATAGTAAAAATCGCATATTAAGGGATTACAATTATTTTTTAATTTCATTTTGAAAAATACTGAGTTATTTTTATTTTACATTATTTTTATTTTAGAATTATTTGAAAACAAGTGCAATTTTTCACTAAAACTACTACATTTAACGAATATAAATTTTTTCAAAAAACTAAAATATTATTTAATTATTAAATGTCTTTCACATTGCATATAAGTAACTTCTTATGTCTCAAACGATATGTATTTTTTTTAAATACTATCATCAAGCATTGAAAGATTTAAACATTAAAAAAGTAACTGGGCGAGAATAGAAATAGTAAAAATCGCATATTAAGGGATTACAATTATTTTTTAATTTCATTTTGAAAAACACTGAATTATTTTTATTTTAAAATTTCTTATTTCTCTTAGAACATATAAGGAACTGCAAAACTATATAAGGAAGTAATTTACCAATATGTAATATTATGAGTACATTTCGCTCGATAATAAGTGTTCAAAAAGCATTTACGAATGAAAAAGGAGAGAATGGTGTATTGTTCTTTAAAAATCATTATTTGAGAAAACGCTTTAAATGAACGAAAATTATTGGAAAATACTAAGTTAATGAACATAACTAATGCTATTAACATTGAATCTTAATAGCACGTTAAGCACGTTACATAATAGAAATGAATTTCTTAGAGAAAAATTTGTATTGTGCATATCATGAAACTTCCGCTTGGTAGAAGTATTATTTAAGGAAATTTCATAGCAAATTATTTTTTACCTTCAGAAGATTAAAAACATGAAAACTAAATAACTGTTTTTGATCGAATGTTTTCCTTGTATGTCTGATTTGAAAATAATTATCGCGATGATTTTCAGCACAGAAGTTTCTTTTATCTCAACTGTTTAAGATATTTACTTAAAAGTCCAGGGTATCATTTAATCAATTAAAAACTTTCAGCACAATAGAAAAAAATCTTACGCCCAAGAGAAAATTTAATACTTATTATAACATTATGGTTTCTCAAAATGAACGAAAGAAAATATTTTTGCAGAAAACACAAGATTTTGATTTAAAAAATAAATAAATTGAGATTTTCAATTGATTCTTAAAGTATACGCTATAGGGTATGGATGGAGGGGTGAATCGTCTCCATGGTTTTGATACATTGACCGTTTCGCATTTGTGTTTTTAAATTATTCAGTACTCAGTTTTCTCTTCCCTTTTCTTTTTTATAGGCTTGTTGTCATAAACCTTATACTTCGATTGGTGAAAAAAAAACATGCACAGTTAAATCGTATGATCTGGGCGGCAAATTCTGACGGCCAAAACGGGATAGTACACGACTAGGGATAGATACAACAATGCTTAAAATAATGTTCGACAATGACGCCGTATTTTCTCAACATTTGCACTCCTCATTTGATTACAATGAACCATTAACTGTCTCGCAATTTTTTTTTTTCTTTTTCATTGCACTTTCTGCTTTGCTGGCAACATTTTTATGCAGCGAAAAGCGTAAAATTCAAGTCTTTCGAGAATATTGGAACACACACCTTCTAAGCTGACAGGTGTTTTAAAATCCACGACACAAATTTCATTTATAGAAAATGCAGGTTTTTACTTAAAGAGCGAAATTTTCAATTGATTTAAAAAAAATATAGGGTTATGTATAGAAGAACATAATGGATAAATCACCTCCACAGTTTTATTTACTCAAGTGCACTGTGCGTTGAAATTTTGAGAAGCGTTTTGCATAAATGTGACTAAGTTTCGTTTATATTTAATTTCCTCTTTTCCTACTGTGGAGACTTGTTAGCAAAATACATAGATTACGGAGGGGGAGCTCATATGGAGTGAAATTGTATGATCTGGGCGGCCAATTCCGATTACCAAAACGGAATATTACACGTCTAACAATGCTTAAATGCGTTGTTCCTTCGTGGAGCGCTTACACTAAACCATCAGCTGTTTAGCGTTTCTATTTTTTCGTTAGCATTATTTTATGATACAAGTTACGTAGAATTCAGATCTTTTATGTGCTTTGACATTTTAGGTTGACAATTTTTTAATCAAACCAATTGAATGTTGAGGAAATTATTGGACCTACGAGTAGGAAAACTATTGTATTAAAAAAAAACGTTATTTAAAATAACGCATTAAAGTTTATTTACTCCATAATCACGTCAATACAAATATCTTTATCTGCATCTTTGGTGTATTTTTATCACTTTCAGTTAAACCTATATATCACGAATGTTTACTGTACGGAAAATACAAAAAATATCTAATTAAGTAGTATTTATATAATAATGATATATAGCTACAAAAAAAACTTGAGCGCCTGAAAAGACTTTAAAAAATGTGACTAAAATCTATCCTTGGATAATAAAAATCAATGCTCAGAATTTTTTTAAAAATTATTATTATTAAAGCACTATTGCCATGACCATTAAGCAGTTTCTATTGACTGTTACAGATCATATTTGAGATGATGTTAGAGATCACAGATCAGTTTGAATATGCACTGGAAATTGTGAAACCACACTATTAGAAATTTCTAAGAAAAAAAAAATGATTTACTAACAATTTATTTAATTGTTATTTTACCATATTCAACCAAAACAGTCAAGTAGCCATAAAAAGTTATGTTCAAGTTGTTAACCATAAGAAAAATTGTTTATTGATTGTTTTCACCTAATTACGGTTTCATCTAATGCCAGAATTTTATTCGTGCCAACTAGGCTCATAGCCAATGAGAATCGCGCGCAAGTTAAACCATGTGAAAAGGATTACGAATTTCGAATTTTATTTTTTATGATAAGATGCCTAACATAATAACTGATACCCAATAACGTAATAGTAATAAGTGTCTGGTGAACATTTTATGAATCCATTTAGTTTTTGTATCTGGATATATAGTTTAGTCGGAGATTGACTGTCCACAGTCAAGACTGTGGATACTGTCCACAGTCAACTTAACTGTCTGTCCACAGTGCTACTGTCCACAGTGAATTTAAGCACATGCAATTTGTTGGCAGGTGTATTTATTATAATTCATATTCATCCATCTAGTTTGTGGACGCCTATAACCTGACTTTTTTCGGACAAGGCTTTTAGGGTGACATTATTTCTATATCAGGTCGGTAAATTGTTCTTTCACCAGATACACGCATTCCATTCATTACTTAACAGAAGTTACCATTCGATGTCACCGTCTATTTTTTCTTTTTTTAAATAATCGAAATATTTTCTGAAAAATGCTTCTATACCTCGACAATGTGTCCGGACATCCTGGAAGTGCGGTCCGCTGGACATCCAGCTGAAAGCATTTTGTGCGATGGGCAGCTGGAAGAGCACGATTGACCCCGTCAATAGTGGATGTTGTAAATCACACACTCCGCGCCCATCTCAAAAAGGGATATTTTGACTTATTACACCTTTTAATAACAGTGTTCATTTCATTCATCAGGTGTGAAAAATTTCAAACTGCTTAAATATTTTATGTGTTGAAGACTTGTAAAATTTTTTTATTGGATCTGTCAATCGATTGACCTTACCACTCAGGATTATCTTTTCCGTGTTCGTTGAGGATTGCTGTGGGCAGCGATTGGTGATCTATTAAGATGAGCAAATGTGTTGCTTGGTATTAGAAGGCATCTAACAATTCCTGGTAACCAGAGGAAAATGGAACTTTCAAAAATGGGATTGCAAGGACTCATTATTTTGTTGTTTTGTAAGTATGATATTTCTTTCTGTGGTTTGGTTTATATGGAAGTAAGACCTAGAAATTATATTCCTACTATTCCTCTTAAGAATTTATGATGAGTTTATCTAGACGGCAAACGCTTAAGACAGCACAAATTTACGAATTTGTAATATTTTTAGTAATTGCAAGTCCATGAGTGTAGAACTGGTTCTTAAAGTGTTAAGGTAATTTTATATTTGTTAGAGTCGATACATATGTGTTTAGCGGTTCAATTTTAAAAACTTTGTACTTAATAAATCTGGCCTCAAACTGAGAGTTCAGGTAAGGTAATGGAAATTTTTGCTGCACAAACAAACCGAATTTGTCTCAATTTTATTCCATAGAGTAACATGGAAAATTTCATACAAAGTTGCCCAAGTTTCTTAAGAATTAAGTATTAGAAATTTTTTGAATACAAGCACTGAAAAATAAGTCTTCTTTTTCTTCATTTTATCTTTCGACAAACTTTAGGGCAGTTTTATCTAAATGAATTAAATATTGTTGTTTTGTTCTTTTCATGCTGATTTTTTCCGAGTGTCGAAGTTGCAATTTATCTTTTTAGATATTTCATATACTCGGTGACCTATAGTCGCATAAAAAAGTTAGTTTGGTTAAATTGGACAAAAGCAGGAATGATAAAATCGATCTTTAGTTCAAAAAATAAATATTATCAAACCGGGTTTATATTGATTTAATAAAAAAATAAAAAGCATACTTTTGTTTAACTGAAATATTTGTTTATAGTATTTAATTAATACAAAAGCTTAAGACCTTTTAGTACAAAGAAACCTACTAGGGTCTTAAGATGAACGAGGATCAGTAACTTCGAATTTAATATATGTGTTACATTTAGTAAATTAAGTTTGTTGATTAGTTGAAAGAACAGAAATCACAAATAAAACTTTGATCATGCTTCTCTGGTTTGCTACAGGCTTCATGTGTGCATCCCTTATAGTTGAGGTACCGTATTCAACTTTGTTTGGACTTTGACTTGGCCTTGCCTCTACTACCCTTGCCCTTTGCACTACCCGAATTCGTCCAACTGACAACATCCTAGCTTTCTTGGGCAATGCCATTTACTGAAAAGAAGACTTTCAATATTTTAAGCATGATGTCAAACCTGTTTTAACAATTTAAAATATTAGGTTAAAGATATGTTATCAAATATTTGACTTACTGGAAATGAATCTTCAAGCAATTAGCAATTGCAGTGTTAAATCGGGTGTAAAAATTAAACTTTTGAAATCAAAATTTTCAAATATTGGCGTTGATAAACACTGCCTTTCAGTCATCTATAAATAACATAGTGATTGTCTGAAACTAGTGGCATGTGATTTTTGATAAATGATAGCAATCGTTTAGTCGAAAGTGCCGGGTTGGTTTTGTCCAACTCGCTACTACAGGCCTGAATCTATTTTGTAGGTAAGTTACAATTATCTAACCTCATCTGATATCAATTCTCAGGTAATTTTTTTTGTAAAATGACTCGAAACTCAAGGGCAAACAAACTAAATTAAAATAATAATAATAATAATTTCAAGCACATTTATTCTAAAACGAAGTTCAAAACTTCGAAAGATCAGTTCTGTTTTCACATGTGAAATATAATTTAATAAATCAAATGCTTGCTCATCAAAACTATATATAGGACTGAAGTGAATAAAAATTTGAATAAATTAATCGGTTTAAAGTTAAACCGAGTAGGGCACAGTGAAAAAATTCATTTTTTTGTTAAACGCACTAAAAGTATGACAGTTTTATTAATATAAATACAATACATTTCTAAAAGTAAATGAGTTTCAGGTTGTTTTACAGACTCAATTTCCATGAAAATATTTATTATGTAAAGTAAATAATAATATATTCATCAAGTTATTATTTCCTTTACATTCAAAACCATTTTAAAACTGTACGTTAAACTGTTTTATAAATTTTTATTCCTTAAAAACATTATTGCAATTTTTAGAAATTCAATGTTTTAAGCAGTTCTTTTAAATTATTGTTGCAATTATTTTAAATTATTATTGCTCAATTATTCATATATTTATTACCTCTTCATTTTCTCATTCAAACACCTATTTTTTTTTATTTCATTTTTATGAGTTATCGCTTTTTTAATTTTTAAAAAAAGGTAAATTTTGACAAATAATCAATTGAAAAATAAATGAATAGGAATTTATTTTTGAAAATGTCCTTCCTCATCAATAATTTTAGAAAATTTAGGTATAGTGTGGGATTGATTGTAATTGTTTCCAATCGTTTTAAAACATCTGTTTTCGAAAACTTCGGAGAGTTTCACATTTCGAAAAAGTGCGCTCTTCTTTTATTTACTTATTTTCGATGGGTATCGTATTGGATTATTAGATGTCATCAAATTTATTATTTAAATATTCTCGGAGCTTACGTAAATGTTTATTTTAGATTATGTAGATAACAAGAAATATGAGAAATAAATAACCTTTCCCTTATTTCTGTCTTCCCTCTCCTCTAAAATGAAAACGATTTTCCTTCAGAATAAGTTTTCTTATATTGGAACCAAAATCAAGGAAGTTAAGTTACAGACCACATTCGAACAATTTCAAGTTTTTGAATTTTTGTTTAGTTTTCAGTTTTACTTTCAGTTACAGAGTAGTTATCATAAAGGAAGTATACGAACGGTAGACAGCGTTAAGTTTTTAAATAGAACGAAGTAATTTACGAATATAATGACACCTAAGCGACGAAATGACCTATATAAAGGCAATTTCAAAGAATTTAACCTTTGCTCTTTTATGCATCTACTATTTACAAAGCAGGAAAATCTCTCTATTTTTAAGTGTTTATCATATTCTGAATATTTATTTAAGTTTTTATTTCGTTATCTCATTGTCGTTTTAGTTTCGTTAGTCAATTTTATTAAACTGAAAAAACGCACTATTAATAATTTTTTAAATAGCTATATAGGAAATGAAGAAGTACTAAAAAAACTAATTAAATTTTTTTAAAAATGGTACAGAGCATTTGATAATTGCCAGCTATTTCGAAATAGGTTTTCAAATAAATTCTTAATAAACTTTAGTACAAAACTGTATTAAAGAGTTGTACCACTATTGAGTAAAATAACTAAAAATATTTTTTCTGAAACTTCTTTTTTTTGGGGGGGCAGGTAGAATTTCTTTTCACTCAGCAGATTTCGGTCAAGTGATCTCTGCTGGGCACCAATCAAAGCGTTAAAATGATGTTGGGGGTTAATAGACTGCAGGCCAATAATCATTGGTTCAGTGACAGGGTGTTGATAATGTACCGTTGTTCATTGACGATAATTCAGCAAAAAGTGGTGGGTAATTGTTCTACTACTGCAGGCTATGTAGCCTTTGCAGAATTATGAAGTGCTGACTAAGCGAAGACCAATGTTGTGATTCGACTGTAGCTGTAAGTCAGCCATTTATTTTATAGTTAAAACTACCAGAAAATTGATCGCAGGCTATCAGTATTTTGTGATTGCGAACGCTAAACCATTGGATTTGTCTTTGCTGGAATTTTGAAAGAAAAAAATTGTTATTGATATAAATATCTATAAACAAAAAAAAATATTATGCCAGGATCCCTTAATCCCTAATTTAGTGTTCAGATTTCCCCAGGGTTTGAAAAGTGATGGAATTTGGCAAACCAAATATTCATGAAGTGATTGTGATAGATAAATATTCAGTAGTGTCATAACTGAAAATATAAATGTTATCAAATATTCTACTTCATCAGACAGAGAAGGAACTGCTTTCATATTCAAAACTCTATCACTCGTGCCCAATGGCTCTAAAATTTCTCAAAATATTGAGATTGAATTTAGAAGGTGGGTCATGGTCAAATTTATATCACATCACTAAAGTTAATTGCGCAGGAACGAATTTCCGAAAACTCTGGTAAAGTTAAATTTCTGAAAGAGTTTTTAGAATAAATAGGGGTGGAAGAGAAGGAAGGCTTAAACATTATCAAAAAATTTGAAATATGAAAAAATATTAATTAAGCCTATCACAGATTCAAGGGAAAATGTTTTATGATTTTTTCCTGTAAAGTTCTTTACGGCATTGTGAATAAATTCGTACTTAGAAATTAAATATAAACACTAATTTAATTGAAAACATGGGTGAAAAACAAAATTTGAAAGAAAAAAAACTTAATCGAATAATTTCTGTATAAAAACATGCATAAAAATATTTTGCTTTACGATAAATATATAGAAAAAAATATATAGTACAAAAAATTATAGTAAAATACATAAAAATATACAGAAAGTGAAGTCCTAAAATATGTTACTAAAATTCTTTCTTGCTTATCAAATATGTTTATAAATTCATTTCGCTATTCGTAACAATAAATCATTTTCCATATGTAATGTTTTATTTGTAGTTTCCATTTTGTAAAAGCTAATTCATAATTAAAAGTCATAAGCCTTGTTGTTACATCCGTAACAACAAGGACTACGTTCGTAACAAATTAATTTGTGATTTTCATAATTATTAAAAATTAATCTTTAAAATTTGAATTATTTCAAAAGCATCATAATCTCATGAATTTACATTAAATTGTTTTTCAAAATGTTTATATATAATTCATAGAATTGTGTAAATTAATTACTCAAATTGCAATTTTAACATTTATGTGAGTTTTATATCCGTAGCAGTCAGTTTTTTTCCCTTCAATTTTCTTAAATTTGCGAAAGTTGAAAAGACTTGGAACGAAATCAAAGATCACAAAGATATTCTTCAAGATTCAAAGATTCATATTCTTACGAATAATCAAAGATTCTTCGTAAGAATATGAAATTAAAGATTCCATATTCTTACAAAGAATATTGAAAGTGCTTGATGCTCTTTAAGTAAATTGCATGCATTAAATTGCATTGCAGTGTAATTGCTTAAAAACAATAATAATAAAACTTCTGCCATCTCAAACGCTATTTAAATAGTTTAGATAAATATATAAAATTCTCTGTAATATATAAAATATGTAATAAATAAAATTTATGTAATATATAAAATTCTCTATAATATGTTAACGTAGATATGCAGTCCGTTTGGGAATGTAGTTCTTCCAAAGACTGGATTGTTTAGTTTTATGTAACTATCCAATTAGATAATCCTCCTACTTTAAAATTATAATTATTTTTTTTTAAAAAATCGAATTCTTTTAATGTAATTACTATGATCAAAAATAATAGTAAATGATTACAATCCGTGTTTAGTACTTGCATGCCATAAATTCTTTCATCAAAATACGCTAATAATGAAATTTAGAATAATATTTTAAGAGTTTTAAGTAATTCGAATGTCAAAGATTAATGTAATCGCCACAAGATCTTACATAAAATTATGCCTCCTCTTTTATATGTAATTAAATAAAACAATTTTATTTAACGAAATTAGATAGACTTAAGAAAAGTAATTATTCTACACAATAACAGTTTTATCAATAAAAGTATAGTACGTATATATTGAAATATGTAAATAAACAATTCTTTTAAAATAACACTATCAAAAAATTATATGCATACACTTACTTCTTTCAGTACATTTTATTCTCTAAAGAAAATAAAAAGGGTTAAATACTGCATCATTTGAATTTTAACAAATGCAGCTGAAAGATACTGATAAGCGTAAGAAGAAAATTCTTCCTCGCAATACTAAGCTATTAAATACGGAAAATCGTTTGGCAAACGAAAAATAAGAAATAAAAGTAGCAAACGATTATTATTCGGTATTAAATCAGGACTGATCATCCATTTTCAATGCAAAACAATTAATATGTTTCTATTAATCAACTAATTTACTTTCTTTCTATTCAATATTCAAATGAACTAGTTACTAACTAGTAATTAGCTAATTAACTTCAAATCAACTAACTAGTCTTTTTCAAATTTTGCTAATTTTTCTCATTGATATTAATCTCATGTTGATATTGATCTCATTGATATAAATTAAGGATTATAAATTGCAAATAAATATAATTATTACTAATTACAAAAAACCTAACTTTCGGAACCCCCATAACCATCGATGCATTCACGAAATCCTAGGGTTCCATGAAACATCTTTTGGGAACCGGTGACTTAGACTGCGGGGGTAATTTAGGACTACTTTTGCTGTGTAAATAGCGAACGTTAATTTTTGCAACGCTGTTTTGAGTTTTAATTTTGACTGTGAATTTTTATGTCCAAAATTCCTTGTTTTAGTGAAGTTTTCGATCACATATTAAATAAAATGTATAAGATTTATAGGAAAGTTTATAAACCTTTACTTATATAAAACATTTCATCATAATTTCATAAGCTTCATAACTTTAATCACATAGTCCTAAATTTAAAATGATTTTTCTGAAATATTTTTAAAAATAATTTCAAACAATGTTCTATTATGATTAGTTTGTTTAATCAACTACATTTCCATTTTATTATTATTATTATTTTACATATTCTTAAATTTCTTGTTGTTTGCTATGCTGTATTGTTTAACAAAGGGTTCCAAACTTTCCCCCAAAAGCTGACTATTCTTCTTTGTGTCATATAAGAAGTGTGGGATAATTGCCAAAAGGGATTCTTAAAAATTAGTTATTTTCATTTTTATGCATCAGTTTAAAATCTGTGATCATTTTCGTTGTTTTATAACTTTAAATAAATGATTTATGACTTGATTTACAATATGTTAATTTTTTAAACTCTTTCTCTTTAATTGATATAGTAAATGTTCTATTCTAGAGAACTCGAAATTTATTTAAATAATCGGATTACTTTCGGTTGTCTATAATCTTATTGTTAATAAATTGCATAACAGGAAACAAGGTGCATGAAACAACTGTTTCTTAAAAAAATTTAGTTAACTCATAGTTGAACTCAAGTTCCTCGAAATTTTTTTTTTATCGTCGCTATTATTTTACTCATATAAAGCAAAAAGATAAATATAAAAACATGTTTGGTTTTTACTTAACTCTTAAGCTTCATGAAATAAAAATGTTTAAAAAAAATTTCACACTTATTCAGTTTTCTAATAAATACTTTTAGTAGAACGTGCACATTCATTTTAGCCTTTTGCAACCCTTCAGCAATATAGCCAAATATGGAAACTGTAATCTTAAGCTATCACATATAGCGGTAACTTTAAATCACCATGCGTTATTTATTTATTCTATTTTTTTATTTTATTTGTTTATTGATTGTCATTAACATGCATGTCTTAGAAAACTTTCATTCGAGTGTTATAAAAATTAATTTAACTATAAAATAAATTAAAATGTTTTAAAATATGTATCTAAAAATGTTTGAATAAATAAATATTTAAAAATGTTTTAAAATGAAAAATGGCCTTACGGCAAATGACGCTATTTAATTGTTTTTATTTTGAATTAAACTTCAAAAATTGTTTTGTTTCGGTATTTAAACTTGAAAGTACTACTATAAAAAAATAAGTAAGTAAAAACTAATACAGCAAAAATAAGAAAGTATAAGAAAAAATCTTTTATTTCTGACTATTGCGTATTACAGACCCTCTGCTACTAAAATAGTAAAGCATTATGGAGTAATGGAAAATAAGGTTTTTATGTTTAAGTCAAGAGATCTGACAGAAATGCGGGTCTTATGTTATTTTTACTTTTTTCGTTTTTTATGAAATTTTTAAAACAATTTACATAATCACAAAGCATTTTTGGTACCATTTTTAAAGCTTGTGCAGAAATTATGTAGAATTAAACAGAACTCGTTTCTTATATTTTAAACAAACAGAAATTATGTAGAAACTAATGTAGGATAATGATATACCATAAATAATGATAAAAGATTAAAAATAATGTATGATAAATGATGATGCATAATAAATAATGATGTATGTTAAAAATGATGTACGATAAATAAACATTGATGATTATTTATCAAATATCATTTATGAACAAGAGAATTTTATGTTGGAACAATTTAAGAACATCATAGCAAAAATTAAAATGTATAATTTAACTTCTTTCTTTCAATTTATGATTTGCAAAAAAAATTTTTTTTGTTATTAAAATCTATGTTTCAATTTTATTTTTGAAAAAAGGAAGAATAAAAATGAGATCAAAAGAAGAATTTTTTTCTTACTGAAATAAAAATTAAATATATTATTTTAATCGAGCCAAACACACCTTTTTAACTTTGTTTTGACGGTATCAGTTGCAGTTTTCTATAATTACCTAGGTTAGACATGACTCTTTCTTTATTTAGTGCCAGGAAAGAAAAAAAAAACAATTGTTTTTTGAAAACTAAAAAAAAAAGTGTTCATAAGGTTTTAAAAAATTAGCGTCAAATTAGCTTTTTTTCACTAAACAAACAGCTTATTTTATTTTTAGATTTCTCAGTCATCGTTGAGTCAAAAGAAGCATGTGAAAAGAAGTTAAATAACTGTACGAGCATGATGCAACCAATACTGAATGAGGTGCGGTACATGTTTCCGACTACGCAATTAGAAATAGAGGGAATGTGCCAGTAAGTATGTTATATTTTTTGCTTGATTAAGTAAAACTTTAAATTTGTTTAAATTTTATGATTTTTTGATGTTTTATTATGCTTTTAAAAAACATCATTGGCAGGTTTTGAAATTTGCGCCATTCCAAGCAGCGCCGATATGTGTGTCTCCTGACATCTGGCTAAAACTTTGGAGCATTTTTTTGGTAATAATATTGGTCGTAACATGGTAATAAATGAAAATGCCTGGCTTAGCTATAGGGAAATAAGTTTTAATAGATTTATGTGAAGTTAGTAAGCCTAATCTTACAATTTGATATAGAGGTATTTTAATTAGCCACAAGATTACTCCTCTCACCTCCTTAGGATTTTTCTAGTGGTTGTTCTCAGCCGAAAAAAAAAATGCTATAGAATGATTTTTGTTTTGTGCTTGTGAATAAAACATAATTTGCTATTAATCTAGCGACTCAGGACAGTGCTTGCGACCAAATGTTCCTATGCAGTTTTTTATTTATTTTGTATGACTGCCTAGCTCTTTGGCTATGACGTTGGTATGTACTTCAGAGAAGATTACTATGACAGTCAATCTGCTAAAGGCACATCCCTAATTGGCATCATTCCTTTTCAACATTTTCATTCAACTTCACTTTCCCGTGTGATGAAAGTGCAGTGCTTTATTATGAGTGGATGCCGCGCCCACGAACAACACGGCACACCGCCAAAAACAAACAATCTGAATTCACTGTGAAAAGGGCAGGTAAATGAGGATGTCCTTTAAAAAAGCAGCGAGAGTTAATCAATTGGGGATATTCTTCCGGTTTCACAACATTGTCACGTTCCGAATAAATCTGAACATGTTTAGCGATTTAAATGTATGTTCTAAACAGGAAAAGAAGAGAGTATATCGTTAACGTGTAAAAATTGTTCTTTTTCTGGTGAAATAAGGGTGACTTATACGTAGTAAATATTATATTATACCTCGATTCGTGCGTTAATCTGTAGTTGAAATGGTACTTGAGAGTTGCTAATGAAGTTTTAGGTAACAAATCTGTGTACTAATTTCAACATCATTGCGTGGAAATTTAAGATGAATAGGCTTGTGTTTAAAAATCTCTTCCTATATGTAATAACTACGTTACGATTTTACTCGTATATCTAGATAGAAATGCTATATAATCTTGCCATGAAGAACTTTCTGGGCTTTAGAACAGACAAATAACTTAAATATTTTAAATGTTATTAAATTTTTCTTGAAAATCGCCTAATTGACGACATTTTCCCACCTAGATGAAAACAGTCAAAATCATGATTTTGATACGGCAGTGCACTGCCGTATTCTCAGTTTTTTCAAGTTTTTATGAGCCCAGGTAATGCAGAATTGGAGTAAGTTTTTAAATATTAAAAAATTAGACCACAAACGCTTTTCATTTTCACAAAACTGTGGATTTTCTTCATTTTGACGTTCTGCGCCATTTTCAAAATAAGCGTAGACAGCGCTGGTTTTAGATAGGCTAAACTTGACTTAACAGTCATGAGTAGCAGTTGCAAACTCACAGCAGTTATAAAAATAGCTATTTATTATTATTTGCAAAAACGCATCATTTCATATTACAACGGAGCCTTCGAAAAACAGCCTTAAATGGCTGTGTTCATTTTTGCAAACACGCAGTTTGCACTGTGTCCAGAATAAAAAGTTCACCGACGATATGTAAATCACATAATTTTTAACATAAAGTCTTTATATTAATGTGCGTTTAAAAAAATCTTTTTTTCTTTCTAGAGTCTGGAGTCACATCATGGACTGTATTCGTAAATATGTAATAGATTGTTCCTCAGAAGAGCAGAGAACGAAATTCAATGAAGCAGTGAGCAACTCTATTGATTCTGTACATGCTATATGTAGTTCTGAGAGATACAGAAGAGGTAATAAAAATTTTTTTAATATAATTTTTTCCTCTTAAATAAAGAAAAACATACAATTACTAAATTTGGTGAAACTGGAATGAATTGTTCAAAAAGGATAGGATATGCTTTGTGCTATGTAGATTAAGGGGGAAAAACTAGAATAAAACGCAGATCACAGTACAGAAATAGACATTAGTTTCGGTTTTATAAAGAAGAACCTTTTTCAGTGTTTAAACACTAGGGAAGGTTATTGTTTATTGAATCGAAACTATAGTACTAATTCCTATTACTGTAATTTCACTTGTACTTTATTCAAGTTCTCTTTTTGCTTTAGTTTACATAGCACAATCCCTGTTCCTATCCAATGTTCAACTCCCTAGCCTTGTAATTTTTAACCCAATATAGAAGACAAGGGAACTTCTGGATCAAGGAATTGGAAAGATTTTCCTTCTTGGAGAACTTTTTGATAGAACTAATCTGCATTTGCGTTACATTGAGAGGAAAACCAGGAAAACCTTCCACGGTTAACTTGAAGGCAAGGGGACTCTAACCCACGATCCGTCTACCACTGAGGATATTTCTCGTCAGCACTGTGGTCGGTGCGATGTTTAAAAATATTATTAAATGCTGCGTTTTTATATGATTAAAGCTTTTAAAAAATCAATTCTCATGTATTAAAAAAAATATGAAAATTTGCTTTTTTCGCCTTTAAAAATCCATGCACCCTCTTAAAATGCAAAAATCAACATTTAGAAATCAAAAACATTTTGAGAATCATTTACATTAAAAATCGAAATTTAACTTCAGTAATTGAAACACATTGTCTTTATTTGATTCGAAACTGTTACAAAATATGATTGAGAAAAACTATATCAATATATTAAAAAAAGAACCGTAATTTAACTTGATATATTATAGTTATTATTTTGATAAGCACAGAAAATTAAAAGTAATAATAATTAACAAACCATCATAGTGATACCAGTCAATAGTGACTCCAAAACATCCAAAAAAGGATTTTTAGATGTTTGTTTGGAAGCGACACTTTGAGTTTTTGATATTTTATTTAAATTTCTAAAGAAAAAATTAAAGGATTATTTTAAAACTTTAGAGATGTTCATACGATTTTATCTACCTACAAAATTTTAAGCTTTCAGAGACCAACAAATAATAACGAAAGAAAGCAAGTATTTTTGAGCACTCTATGCAAGAAAACTTAACAAGCTTGTAACTCGTATCAATTACTTTAATTGTTATTTTTAATAACTGCACAAAAGTTTGTAAACATAGAGTATATATTGATGGAAATATCGACATTTTAATAAAAAACAAATTTTTTTGCCTTACATTTTTTGCTATAACTTTATAAATATTCAATAGAATTAAACATAATTTTTGGAGCAGTTTAAAATTTATAAAATTATTTATTTAAAATTTTTAAAAAAAAATCGTTTAAAACTGGGCACGATATAAATATTTAAGGTAGTTCTTTTATTATGCTGCGCATGCGCGGAAGCCATTTAAGAATTTTTTTTCTTAATTTTACAGTGAATCGTATTTGGCAACTAATTATAAAGTTTAATTTGAATATCTTAAAAATTTAAAGCGTTTCAAGCAGTTTTCTAAGTAATTTTTGTACTTTTTAAAATAAAGCTCAAATCGACCCTGAAATTTCCTTTTGTACTATTAAACAAGATTTGGCTAACAATCAGATCGCATTGTGTAGAATCACCCCCTCTCCCATAAAAGTATGGTTTCTTTCCTTATACCATCTCATTTTGGTTTCCGGACGATTCTTCTAATCATTTGTTATAAAATTTTGTCTTATGATACAAAATATAATTTGTGGAAAACCCCTAAGAACGTTTTGAGCTTTCTTTTAAAAAGTATAAAAACTTTGAAAATGGCTAGAAACTTTTTAAATTTTTAAGATATTCCAATAATACTTTTTTTCATTAGTTGCCAAATACGATTCACTACAAAATTAAGAAAATTTTTAGTCGCATGAGCAGTATAAAAGGACGACCTTAAATACTTATAGCATGAGCAGTTTAAACGATTTTTTTAAAAATTTTAAATAAATTATTTTGTAATTAATTTTAAACTGCTGCAAAAAATTTTGTTTGATTCCATTGAATATTTACAAAGTTATAACAGAAAAACGCAAGGCAAAAAAATTAGTTTTTTTTATAAAAATGTCCATATTGCAATAAATATTTACTCTAGGCTTACAAAATTTATTATTAAATTTAACAACTAAAGTATTAAGTAACTATTATTAAAATTAACAACTAAAGTATTCGATACACGGTACAAGCTTATTGCTTGATTTTCGGTCATAGGGTGTTCAAAAATACTTGCTTTCTTTCGTAATTTATAGTCGGTCTCCCAAAAGCTTTAAATTTCACTACTAAGTATGAAAAATCGCATGAACTATAACAACTAGACAACTAAACTAAGCAACTAGATTACAGCACATACGATATTCAGGATTACATTAGTTGGATATTATGATGAATATTTTTCGAAATTATGTTTTGGAGCATAAATGCTCTTTTGAGCTGTTTGAAAATGTGGATTATCATTAGATAACTTCAATTCTACTTCAGTTAGCTTTTTTTGAACAATAATTGATGAATTAATATCCTGTATAACCTTTCAGATTACTTGGAATATGCGACTTGCTACAGAAAAGTATCAATGGACAGCTGTGGAAATCATTTTAAGAAAATGGTTGATAGCGCTTATAACCCTCATTCTTCTGAAGTACAGATATGTTGGCATGTATAATTTTTCTTTGTATTACTTTAAAAACAATTCATTGCATAAGACTTAAAAAAAGAGTTTATAATTCACAAAAAAAATATTTTCCCTCTGATCAAAATATAATAAACGGTGCCTCAGTTATGCAATTTACGAGCTATTAAAAACATTTTTTTTGATCAAACGATAATTTTACTGAAAAAAGAAGTTTTAAATTTAAAAGAGTTGGCAAAATAGTTGTCTAATTGTCATGTTTTTGGTCCACCACACCTGTAACCTTACATTTCGTAAAACCTTCTTAAAAGAATTTAAAATTTACTTAAAAAATTAATTGATTATTTTTCATAATAAACGATGTCTGAGTTAAGTAATTTAAGTGACGTATTATACAAAATTAAGTATACTTATGTATTTTACAGTGCATACAGACAATATGAAAAATGTGTATCGGATCCAATTCAAAGGATGTGCGGACCACAAGCGTTGCATATCTTAGATGATTCTATGTCATCCTTAAAATCAAGATGTGATGCTGTTTCTCAGTCGTGAGTACCTTTTACTGCTTCACAAATAATAATGCATCATAATTTTTTTCCAGATTGCTCTAATTCTTCAGCTTTTCTTCACTGTTGTTGAAGTTCATAATTATTCGTCAAATTTCGATAACGCTTTTTATATTTTAAATATAGATTTCGATCTTTGTTACTCGTATTTTTCACTATTTTTTTACACAATTTTTGAATCTCGAAATTATAGTACCTATTTTTAATTATTATTTAACTATTAATTTTATTTTAACTTTTCAAAGTATCTAGTGTACACAAAAATGATAAATCGCTACAGATTTTATTAAATAATATTTTATAAACCAACCATACTTGGCACTTTTGTCAAGCTATTTTATATGCCAAAAGCAGTTTTTAGTACATATCTTAGTTTGCTTGTTAAAATGTTTTTTTTTCCAGTAGAAAATTTTGTAAACGACCTAGAAATGAAGTTATGTAAAAAAAAAAAAAAAGAATCAATATTTTACACAACTTCGAAGTAAACGAAACGGAGCTTGAAAACAATTAACATCATAAAGAAGCGGATTTAAAAGGTGAAAGTTTGAGAAAAACCTATGTAGCAAAGGGAGGGCGTTCCCCTCTAAAAAAAAACTTAATCATCTAATAATATGAATCAAAAATTTTATGCATTACGGGGACCAAAAAGTAATGTCGTTTCTGTGCATTTTATTTTTGTTATCAAGATTTTATTTTTAATCAATAATGTATTCACCCACGTTAGCAACAACCTTTTAATGCCGGATCGAAAATGAATTAAAAAAAATGAATTGGTTAAGACTAACGAATATCTAATGCACAGAAACGGCATTACTTTCCGGTCCCCCTAATATATATTTATACGGTCAGAAATGTTCTAAAAAATATTTTGGATCCCGCCCACTCCCAAATATTGTCACTTAGCTACATTACGCAAGTGTGACACTACTAACCCCGATTTTTCTCTTTTTTGTTATGAAAATTTTAATGCTGTTTGTCGTAACTGTCCAACTACGTTAGACATAGGGACTCTTAGTTTAACCAAATCAAGTCATAATATGTATCATAACAAGTTATAACATGTATTAAAAATAAACATGTTATGTTTATTTTTAAACCGTAATTTATTTTTCAGCTTGAAGTCAAAAGACAAAATTTGTCAAATGGAGACACCCGTTCAAGACACTCAAGAATATCAAGCAAGACCGGCTTTAAGGCACATCGATCAATCTTTTGGTCCTCTGTCCACTTCAGCTTTCCTCCTGAACAGCCGAGCAGTATCCTACACGACACCAGCTTGGACACCACGGACAGTAATATATCCGCTCCCAGTAACAAGGCACAGCAGTCGCATATCGAGAAGTAACGGATTGAATTTGGAATCTTCCATTTGTTTTACTTTAGTATGCGTATTGGCTCATTTTGCGATGATAACGGCTGCCAGAATTTTGGATAAAAATCAATTGTAAATTAAAACTTATTTGTTATGATCCTGTGTTTCAAAGAGAAAAAAATTTGCAAGGAGGAATTGATTTTTAAAGTGTTTAGTATTATAAGCCAGAGTTTTTAACCCTTTTAAGTCGTGACCCATACATCTGATGTTTACAATTCTGATATGTAAACTACAATAAAATGACACAATTAGTGGGTTGTTAAAGATGTTTCCAAAAGAACAAGACTAAGTTGATAACTAGATGAGAGGAATATAAATAAGTAAAAATGAAAACTTTTTAACTTTCGCAACTACAATAAACGGTCTAGAAAATTGCAGTCTAGCCTTTTTTCTTTTTGGCCCTGCTCAACAGCCACCTTAGCCTCTCTAAAATTCTTATTTCCCCCAAACATATACATGTATTTTAATACTCAAAAATTGAATTATTTTTAAAGATAAGTTTTATGAAGGAATCAATATGAATTTGAGTCAACACCAGTCAAAAAATATAATGGTGACTGAAATCCTAGTACAAAATAATTTTCATGAGAAAATATTCTAGATTTTTAGGTTCAGATGTAGTTAACTCTCATATCTGCTCGTTTGTTACAGGCAGCTGACTTTTTTTTCTTCCCCACGGCAATAATTTACGACGTCAAATCCACAATTCAGCAAAGTATGAAGATAGAACCGGTACCAATAATTCTCTTGTACGTTTGCTTATTCGCTTTTGGTCTCCTCACAAAGCTTCAAGCAACTGCTTTTGTTGTATTAAATGGCTCATCATTTTGCATTTCTGCGAGTTCTACATGCTGCATTTTTTAAAGTATCAGACAAATTCACTAACATTGGCAGCAGCATCCAAGTAGGAGGATAAAATTTTTTTAAAAATCAGATTGTCGTTTATATTGGGTGATAAAACTTTCTGGTGATAGATATTTACATTAACAACAATTAACTTAAAATCTGGGTAAATATTAATAATTGCTCTATCCCAAAGGAGCGCGAGCCCCGCTACATTAACAAACACTGGTCTAAAGCATTTTTTTGGTCTTGCATTAAACGCCCTTTACAAAATAGCATTAATTATTTCAATACGAATAATGCTTTTTGTTTTTCAAAAAAATTCTCGGCTTCACGACCTCGAAAATTAAATTACGAACTTTTCACTAAACGGAGCAGTAAAGGTTAGTACCCACAGTCCCTTTTTAGGGATGGTTCGAAACATGCATCATCAGCTCTCAGGAATTAAGTTTCTGAAGTTTAAGTGCCCTTTCATTATAAATTTTATTAATTCTTCTAATATTATTAATTCTTCTATAAATTTTATTAATTCCATTTATTAAGCCTTCGATTGATAATGAAGCCTTTTTAATTTCCAAAATCAGACTAGAAATTTGTTTTCCTTCATGTCCGAAAGAAATATTTCAAGCTTATTTCATTTTTATGAATTAATTATCTGGTAGTCAGCAAATATATTAGTAAATATAGTTATGATAATAGCCTTTCTGTTGAAATCTCATGTGTATAAATACAATTTTGTATTAAATTTTTCAAATTAAACAAAAAACTTTCAAAAAAAGAATGTTTTAGAAATAAATTTTTCTATTGGTTTTATAATATTTAATACAAATTTACAAAATATTATTGAAAACTTTCGACATTTCATTAATCGCTTACGAATCCTTGTAACTATGTTTTTTTTTTTTAAATTTTTGTATGTTTAAATATAACATGTTACATTCAAATTGGATTTAGATAGCTCCCGTAGGCTGTTATCATCAGATCTAAAATTATGTAATCTTTAATTTATTCCATAATGTGCTGTTGGTCTGAAAAATTGCTCCCTCAACAGTATTCTTACTAGTGTTTTCAGAAGGGTAGCCAAACCTAGCCTTTTCATATATGCATCCTTCATGCCCTTATTGTAAAAATGTTGTATCCTTCTTCATCTGAAATAAATACTCATATTACTATTTCAAAAAAAGGTGATAGCATCCTTTTACAGAAGCTTCAGAATGCCATCTACTGCAAATTATTTTTATGCTAAGTTAATGTTTTAGCATTTTATTTTATTTTATAACCGGCGTTGAACAACCGACCCAATTCTGAGTTTAACGACTATCAATGTTCAACTAAGTGGCTTTGTAATTTTAAACCTAATCCAGAAGACAAGGGTATTCCTGGATCAAATATTGCAGATTTTATTATGGAACTAACCTGCATTTGCGATAAATGGAAACTACGTAAACCTTCCACGGTTAGACAGACTGCTAAGGGATTCTAACATATGATCTGTCTACCACAGAGGATATTTTTGTCAGCACTGTGGCCGGAGTGAGCAGAATTCGTATCAACGAGTCACGACTGGGATTTGAACGCTGAGCCACTGCGGCTCCAATATTTCAGCATTATAATTAGTTCAAATATCTCTTCCAATACTTTTTAAATGCTTCAATTTTTCCCCAAAACCGACGTTGTCCTTATTTTAGCCTTTATTCTGCGTTTTATTATTATTTTTTTATTTCTCTGGAGATCGCCGTTTATAAACTTTTAACTGTTATCTATTTCTGTTGAAACAACTTTTTCTACGTAGATAAAAATTAAAAATAACACCAGAAAGAAGACTAAATAACAGTGGAGGAACGTTTTATTTGTACACTGCTTTGAAATGACAAAATGAGCAAAGGAATGTAACAAAAGCAGGAAGACATAACATTCAATCTATATGTGAGAGTCATACATGTATACATAAGGACTGAAAAAAAAGAATTACTCCTCCTACGACACAAAAACTTTTCATATGAATAATAAATCATTTTCATTTCAAACATTTGCAAGATAAACACCAATAGGAGTATGTTTATAAATTACGTTTCTTAGGAAACTACTATAATTTTAAGGTAAATGGAGTTTATGAGAGCCTAGAAGAAAGAAAAAAAGCTACACCTAGCTATTCAAAGACTGGAATATATTTAGTTAGAAGATTAATATGATGCCCGAAATACTAGATGCAATCTTATGAGAATTTTTATTTTTAATATTAAATCGAAATAAAGGCTAAAAATATTTAGTAAAACACTGATTTTTTTATAATAAAGCTTCCTGGTCTGTATCGATTTGATTCAATCTTAAACAAAAATTAATTTATATTCCTGTAGTTATAAAATTTAATTTATATTAAAGAAATAAATATCAGACAATTATAAATGTTAAAGATTTTCGGATCTTACAGACTTTAAAAATAGTTCTAGAAGAGTTTCAATTTAAAATGAAGAAAGTTTTGTTCCTTCAAGAGTTTAAAAATATATTTAAAAACTTTTTTTTAATAAAAAAAAAAAATCATTTTGAATTGCAACAATATAATTTTCAAATGATTTCTTGCACCAAGTTTGAGTTCAGGAAACATTAAAAGGATAAAATAATTCTTATTTCTATGCATTATTTAAAGCTATATGCGCTAAAAAAATATAAAGCTTCTATAAAGAGATTAATTGCATCATAGCTTTTAAGTTAACAAGAACAAAAAATTTTATAAATTTCCAATCAGTATGAGAAAAATATCGAATTTACATAAAATTAGTTATCAAGAATAATTTACTTAAATTTTGTAAAAAACATACAAAAACAAACTGGCCAGTTTTGTATGCTATTACCACCTTATATAACATTTTCTTTTAAAATTTAAAGTTTTAGAGTTAAAAAGTTATTGATTTTTTTAATAGAAATTTTACAATTTTAATTGTTTGATCGTTTTTTTAAATTTCACATTAAAAATATTATTCAAGAGATTTGGCACATACTACTACAGTTGCCTTACAAATGCATCAATCAGAGAAAAGTTCATATTTTTTACAAAATAGTCTATTTTTTAAAATTTAAATCTCAAAGAGGAAATATTGAATTCAGATTATGCATAAGAGTTCCTTTTAGAAAACTCAATTATACATAAAATTGCCTAAGTATATATTATAAATTAAATCAAATTGATTTGAGACTTAAATTTGCGAGCACCTTGACCGAAATCAAATGATTTTTTTTTCTCCTTAAAACAAATTATACTTCAATAAAATTGGGATTTGTTTCAAACATGCGCATAATTCTTCTGTATATGTAATGTAATATCTTTATGAAAGATTAATTTGTGCTGTTAAATTATTATCATTAAAACACTAAGTTTAAAGACATGAACTTATAACCCTTAATTCTCTTAAAAATAGATAGCAAAATGGCTCTTGATTTTTTTGAACCAATACAGTGTTACAAACGAAAAATGCCCGCTCACTTAATCAAAAGCAGAAGAGTCTCTGCCTGTAAACAAGAGCAAAAACATTATCTTTATGACATATTGCAGTTTGGAAAAGAAAATAGTCAAAGCTCAAAATTGTTAAAAATTTTCTTCAGCAGAGGGAACTTTTTAAATTCATTTTCTAAAAAAAAGGGCACAGCGCTGAATAGGTTTATGATAAATGTAATTTTAATATGAGTAATTTCAACATTTCATAATATACATGCATGAATAGAAAGGAAAAAACCCTTATATTTCGGATATTTTTCGCAAGAATTTTACAATTTCATGTAATAATAGACCTTCCTTCAATAATTAAAAAAAAACTTTGGTAAATAAGAGTTTCAAATTAAAAAGTTTTACAAACATTATACACCTAAAGCTTTCTTTAAGTTGTGTAGTCAAAAGGCGATTATGAAAAACATTTTCGTTTATGAACCCCTACCCAATACAATATTGCTAAACAATATTGGTAATAATGCATTTTAATAAATAGTCTTGTACACTCATAGAAATGAACAATAATATAAAATAAAATGAATGAAACGTATTTGAAAAAAAAAATTAAGTTTTGAAATAAATATTATTTTAATGTTTTCAGTAAAAATATATAGATACGTCTTTTAAGAAAAAAAAAAAAAAAAAAAAAGAAGANTCTTGTACACTCATAGAAATGAACAATAATATAAAATAAAATGAATGAAACGTATTTGAAAAAAAATTTTAAGTTTTGAAATAAATATTATTTTAATGTTTTCAGTAAAAATATATGGATAAGTTTTTTTTTTTAAAAAAAAACAAGCATTGCAATTTAATTTTGGGGACGTTTGATTTATTCTTTTACATTCAGCTAGTTTGTATGCTTTTATTTCTTAAAGAGTAATTAGTAGGATTAAAGAGTAATAGGTGTGAGAAGCAATCGAAAGTTTGTGAATTCAGAATAGACACAAAAGAAAAAAAATTAAATTTATTTTAATTTGCAGTAGTAAAAAGATATTTTTTTTATAAGTATTATTTATGTAGGATTTTTATTGAATTTTAGAATATCAA